AAAAAAAAAAAAAAAAAAAGGTTTTGTTTTATTTTATCTCTACTTAAAATTTTCTGATCTAAATTGTTGTTGCACTGATGTGTTCTCACCTGGTGCCTTGTAAACACCAGTATACCAGGTACAAAGAGTCAGCAAGTTGTAGTGAACGACTTTCCTTTATTAGGTGATTAACTTAAATATCCAGATTATTGCCTGCCTTTCTCASTGAAGAAGAAAGAACAAGAAATACTTGGCATGGTTCTTTAATAGGACTGCTGATTAACTTTCAGATTTGTTTATTGCCATACTTTGGTTGTAATAAGCAGCTTTAGTTGTGTTTTTTTTTTTTTAAAGAAAAGAAGGGAGCAATGCTACTGAAGAATTTGTAGAACATTCAGCAGTAAAGGTGAAATTTTAGTCAGTTTTCTAATTTCTTTTGCCATTKATTAGTTTTGTTTGCAATGTAGCTCTTTAGTATTAATTTTCTGTTACTGAGTTTTACAAGATAAATGTTTTCAGTGATCTGTGGTCTCTTTACATGCTGTATCACAACAACAGTTATTTGRATGTGTGTAAAACATAGATACTTCTTTTAAACAATCTAGTTCTAATATTAGAATGATCATTGCTATTGTTTTAGAGAACAAGATACTTGATCCTGAAGTTTTATCTGTGAAGCAAGAAGCAAAGGGAAAAAACAGTTCCTACAACTCTGTACAGAAGCCAAACACTCAAGGTAATTTAATCTCTTAATAAGAGCATTTCTGAGAAACAAATGAAACACAATTATTAGGCAGTGTGATAGTGAGGAGTCTGTTGTGTACAACATCACTGTGCAGAATGGTGTTAGTGACCTATTCTCTTTATTGCTTTTAATATTGTGGTTCTACGGTAAAATATTTATCTTGTTTCCTAAAAACACTACTACACTGTTATTGTGTGGAAGAAAAATATCATTAGCTGGGTTTTTGGTTTATAGAAACGATATGCAAATTATACAAATCTAAGTTGGTTATTACGAGACTGACTCAATAAGAATGCTATACTCTTTATTAGAAATAGATGTAAAGCAAAAAAAAAGTGCGTATTTTTGTATAAGCAAAAACAATTAGAGAAACGTACAGCAGTCAACACGAGAAAATCTTCAGTATACTATTTTATTTTGATTTCAGAACAAAATCACATCATGTGTTTTTAGTGTCTGGACCAAGACTTGTAGGGCAAGTGATCGGGATAGTTGGCTTGAGATATTTTATGAATAAGAAATTATAATATAATAAATATAATAAAATATAAGTATAATAAATATAATAAAAAGGATTTTGAGATCATGTATGTTTTTTATAAAAATAAAAAGTTAATCTTTTGGAATATGATTCTTTTTTTCTTTTAAGTTTTGTAATACAGATGATAGTAAAAGTAGTCCAAAGAGAATTATTTATCCTTTCAGGTTCTATCTTACTAAATGCACTAATGAAGCAGCCTATTGTCCCTGGGTCATTTCTGGGGCTCTGTCATCTTCTTAGCAGTAACTCTGATGCTCTACCAGGAGCTGTCTTGAAGCCTAAGTTTTTGGATTCGTAAGTTTTATTTATTTATTTATTTATTTATTTATTTATTTATTTATTTAAAACCTGCCTAGTATGTTCTTAGTACAGTGGCATACTCTATACTAAGGAGAAATTACTCGTGTAAGAAACTGCATTACTTATGTTAAACACTGTTCTTGTTAGGCCATTTAATGCAAAAATGAACACTCTTCTGTGTCTTTGTTAATTAAAAATAATGATTTTTGTTTAAACGTTTGAGCAGCACTGAAACTATTGTRATTTTGTATTGGGCAAGGCATAGAGACATGTTTTGAAGAACCTCAAAATGGCTGTTAGCACCTACTGTCATTAACGATTTGAGAGCATAGAATTTGCATTACAAAAGGAGAAGTGAATGCAGGGACACTTGATCAAGGGAAGTGCTGAAAAGCTGATCAGTGAAGAACAGTAGAGTTTTAGTTTGTCTAAATTATATATGACTTGTTTGATATAAAAATAACTGATTGAATATGCTTTTAAAAAAATACTGTAATTCACATTTCAGGTGTTTGTATAAGAACACTTGATATGCTTTCTGTTTCTAAAAAACACAAAAATGTTGAAATATTTCCTTTTGATTTTATTTGTTCAGGAAGTCCACAGGAATACCCAGCATGAGGACAACTCGAGAAGAAACTGCTTCTCTTTTACCCCTGAGAGAAGCGCAGAAACTTGCAGTGACAGGATTGAACCTGATTGCTATGGATGAAGGGTCATCTGAAGGACATCAAGCAGAAGGTGGGGAAGAGTTTTCACACCTCAAACGCTGCAAGATTCGAGGTGCTGCACATCTCTTGCCCTTGGTAGAACACTATGTTGGGGCATACTGTCAAGCAGTACAGCTGGCAGACAAGTCAGTAACTGGTTCCTGTGGAAGCCATTCAGTTGTTTCTTCCAGAACTAACACAAATGTGGTATCAAGTAAGGAAGACTTCAGATCATCTCTTGAAGAAACGACAGTTGTGTCTCTGGGCATTCTTTATTATTTGGCATTTTATAGCTGGGAGGTTGTTCACACATTGCTTTCTTCGGAAGTGGAAAGAGACTCTGCTGTTGGAGATGAGCAGATTTCCAAGATGGACAAAAATACATTGCGTGATGATCAGTGCAGTCATAAAGAAGATGCCAGGACACAAGGAGGATCACATGTTGCTCCCCAGGATGAACCTAATGCTGATCGAGCTCAACATTCTTTGTTCAAAAAGCTGCTTCAGGTTTTAGCTTTTTCTTCTACAAAAGGTTCCCAGATTGATRGTATACTGACCCAAAGCCTAAAGGTTTTGGTAAAATTAGCTGAAAACTCAACAATGGACTTGCTAATAAAGTAAGTCAGAGATAGCATTAAAATATTTCATATCCYTTATTGAGTAGTAGCTTTTAGTCTCTTGTTGAAGCTTTAATTTGTGCAGATGGTCATAGAAGTTGTGACATGAATGTGACACATATTAGTGCTTTGCTGTTCATGAATTTATTAACTGTTCCACATCAGTGACACGATTATAATTTTATATTAACTAGTTGCTGTTGCCTCGTTGCATTGTTGTAACTTTGAAAGTAAGAAAACTTAAGACCATATGTGGTTGGTTAGAATATCCATAGCATTCATTTTGTTTTGCTTTTGTTTGCATTTGCTGGTCTGTGCTTAAGAAAGGGAAACGCTTGGCTTTCATTCTGGCAAGGAAATTCTGCCTACTGATAGTCTAACATGCAGCCACAGAGTGACCTGCAGAACACAATAGAAAATGTTTTTCAGTGCCCCTCCTTTTTATTTATAACGAGTAATTTGAGAGCAGGTATGTTCAGAATGGCTAAAAAGACACCATTATAGGATATTGCTCTCCCTTATCCCTCAACTTAGCAGTGCATTTCCCATATTTATTTCTGATTTTCTTTTACAGTTTTCAGGACTTATTAAATAGCCAGACACTGGTCCATTGTGTGTGTCCAGAGACCCCTTTGCATGCTGTCCTTTTGACCGTGAGACTCCTCTCTATATTTGCTCAACACCACGTGTTGGTTGCTCAACTTTGTTCTCATTCAGGTAAAAAAAAAATGTCTAATACAGAGAATTTTTATCAGTTGAATGTCAGTATGTCTCAAGGTAATAAAAATAAGCCTTGCTGAACTCTATTAAAACCTAAAAAGGTAAACCCTAGTGTGTTAGGTAAAACTTGCTTTCTAGCGCTGAGTTTCAGTTACTATTAGAAGAATATTTTATCTTCTGATATATCTGCAGTGATTTTGACACCCATGTGGATTTTTAAAACCACTTTCCAGATTCATGCTTATTATATTGAAAGTTAATGAGGAAAAAGGATTTTTGAGGCAGTAAAGACTAATTACATCCTGTAAAGTATCTGCACTTCATGACACTGTGAGTTTATGGATTTCAGTGATCTATGTGACAAAGTCCAGTTCCTTATCAATGAAGGAGGGAATATTATGTTAAGTTTAGAGATAGTGATTTTTTTTAAGCACTACTTAAAAAGTCTGCAGTCTCCATAGTTTCTGTAATGTTTCTCTCTGTGACAAAATTAATCATTGTCAGAAACAGTTGAATACTTGGGAAAAGAACAAAGCTGTCTTTATTTCAGACACCTGCCTTCTTCTTGCACTGTACATGTATATTACATCAAGACCAGATAAATCTGCACCTGAAATGCTTTGGCTTCGGTTAGAACAAGAGGTAACTGYAGTGTTTTGTACAAGTGCTTTTTTTTTCCCTGCTATTTCCTATTTGGGCTGGTGAGGGAGCAAGAGGATGCCCAAAATGACCAAGAAAAAAACCCTCTGCTCAACAGAAACAGAACATCTCAGACTTCAGCTGGCTTCTGTAGCGAGAGATTATATTTGCTTTTAAGAGCAGCTGTTTGAAAAAAAAATTGGGAACTATTGTTGAAGATAATGTCTTCAAGACGTTATTGTATGTCATTACATAGCAGTCATAGCGAAATCATTAAAAAGCAGGAAGTGTCTTCAGATACTAGACGTGTTCAAGACCTCCATGATCAAATGTTCAGAACTTTTTTTCTACTTTTACAGTGGTAGAAGATTAAAAGGAAGCAGGATCTGTGTTTCATTTTGATTGTGCTGCTTGCTTCTGAACCCATGAGTTGTGTTATGCATGAATGGCAGTCTGTGGCAACTGATCATTATATTAATTGCATTCAGTGAAATGCTAACTGGCTGTATAGCAGTTGTTACATATAGGAAGAAAGCTTTTGTAATCAGTTTGTACTGATAAAATACCACAGAACAACTTGCCACTATTATTTTGTTCCACTTCTAATGTCATTTGAAAGAATTTTGAACCATTTTCTAAAGCTACTTTTACTGTCTGCCTGCCTGCACTGTTATGTAAAATATGTTTCACATCCCCTGAATAAGTCTTATTACACCTTGYCAGCTTTTCTCATCAGAAAGCTGGAAAGGTTTCTGTATAATGCAAATTCCATGTCTGTAAAGTTTTAGGAAGAATTAACAAATTTTGGGGGGAGAGGTGGGGAAGTAAACTTTTACTTAGAAGAAATGCTTGGAACTAGTAATGAAATGTCACTTTTTTTACTTCCCTTTATTCACAGCATAATAATTTGCTAATTCTGCAGAACCCTAGTACTCACTGTAATGCACTCTGCGTGTTTTTGTAATAGACACTTAGACTCCTGACAAGTTGCRTGCGCTGTTCCAGTCCAGCAGTTTCACTCCTTGCCACTGACTGCCAATGTAACCTTGAGGTACGTCACCAGTGTTGAGTCTACTGAAAACTTCAACATACGCCTAATAATGTTAAATACCTTTATGCCTTTTTTTAGCTGCCCTTGAGCAGAGCTGCACTGCATTTTAAAAGCTGCCTTCTCCAGAAAGGCTTGCTTTTCCTTGATAGATAATATTTTAAGATGTGGATGTTTGAAAAGTTTGATAGGAAAGATCATGAGAAGTTTTCTGTCACTGTGACTTTGTGTACTGAGTCATTTTTTTATTYCTCTTTCAGGTGGTTAAGGCACTAATTATCATGTTGCACAGACAGTGGATGAAGATCAGAAGGTCTGAGAGCAGCTTGTGTACCTACAAAGAACACATTCTTCAGTTTTTACGGGACGCTGTTTTACTCTTACACAGCCTATCTCAGAAAGATAAACTGTTTCATGAACACTGTTTGGAAGTTCTCCATCAATATGACCAAGCCATGCCTGGTGTAAGAGCCATTCTCAAAAAAACTAAAAAGTTGAGCGCCTGTGAAGGTGAGAATTAGTGAAATTACAGGTTGCTTGTGTGTGTGGTAGAGGGTGGTTGTTGGGTTTGTGTTTGTTTATTTCCTCGTCAGTGCTGGGGAAATGGCAATTCYGTTTGTGCCCTTTTCCTCATTTAACAAGTACCGTGTACCAAATGCCRTGGATGTCTGTTGCTCAGACCCAGGGGCAGTCTGTAGTGTAGTGTTCCTCGAACTTYGTTATACTGCACCACTGCTCTTTAATATTTTTCTCTTTCCTCTCTACAAATATGACTCTACCATCTGATCAAATAAAACCTGTACTCCAGCTTTGTTTTAGCTTACTCATCCACATAAATATTATCTCACACTAAAATCATTATTCCATGTTCTCCAGTTAGCATTACCCCTGTTTTATTCCCTGCATCCTCCACTATAATTTTTCTTTCTTCCTCTTTCCTCCCCTGCTCTTGCTGCACTTACCTCAAAGCTTCTTCAGCAAAGACACTGATCATCAGGTCTTGCCATGGCTTTGCACATTTCTTGTCTCTGCTGCCTACAGCCGCCTCCTCTGCAGAAATTGTCTTTCATTCTCAGAGCTCTCATGTTATTTCTTCATTCAGTCACAGCATTATTTACATATGTGTCTTAAAGCTATTGTGAAGATGATGCTCTTGTGCTACTATGTAGGTTGCTGCTAGATGTCAGACAATGTATCTGGCTGTATTTAGAGACAGAGTGGTAAATGTTCCAGTACTGGGAGGAGCATTGCATCGGAAAGGCAATGCCAGAGCAAACGGGCCAGGACTTTGGAGTGACTTTGAAATGTGGTTTTTCTTGTTGCAGAGCTGATTTTGGATGAATTGTATCCTCCTGAGCCAGAAGCAGAAGATCAAGGAATGGACTCCAGCTAGCGAACATCTAGCAAGATCTCTATCCTTCCTTAGCTAAAACTTATCAATCATTGTCAGCGTAAATCTGAAATTTAAATGAGCTATTTAATTTTTAAGTTCATAAAGATGTAACTGATATCAAAGAAAATGTGATGTAAGAAACAATTATACTGAAATTATACTGAAATGTATTGTTTTGCTATGCAAAACTACTTGTTGGCCTATGAATCGTTTTCCTTATGAATTTCATTCCTCATGAAATCGCTGTGAATGAACTGAAACTTCACTATTGTGTTCTCCATTTTATTGTGACTACAGCCTTGTGATGTTGAAGGTGATAGATGTTGGGATCACTGAGCTGATACGGAAGTGTTTTGAAAATATTTTCTCTGTTCTGTATCTTTTACAGCTGTAACTTTCTTGCTTGATTTCGAGAATTCTCATGCTGACATTAGTAAATAGTTTACTGTGATTTTAAAACTTTTTTTTTTGTAGAAATAAGTTATAGTTCACGGTTAAGTTCTGTGCAAGAAATTCATCTCTAGTGATTACCTCAGTTCACTTATTTTCCTCAATTTCATATTTCTGCTGAAAGTTCAGCTGTGGAGGTGCCAAACTAAATTACCTCAGACAAATGAGATGGTGAATGTTGAAGATAATACCCTCTTATTATACAAGAGGAGACTGTTTAGTCTGTGCAGAATAACCATTTTTGGTTGCAGTATCTGAATGTGCTCAAGTTATTTCTGCTGATGACTGAGCAAAGAACAGGTGCTTTGCCCTTTCAGATCTATTTGTTTACCATCCTGCTCACAGGTATCCTGCAACCTGAACCCTAGATCCTAAAAAGGAAAGTGTAAATGCTACTAAAATAGGTGCACAGGCTTGCCTTTTAACTAGTTCTGAAAGTCTTAGTTCTTGCTATTTTTATTTTTATTTTTATTTTTATTTTTATTTTTATTTTTATTTTTATTTTTATTTTTATTTTTATTTTTATTTTTATTTTTATTTTTATTTTTATTTTTTAAACTTTAATTACGGTAATTGCAAGTAAATGCTGCCTCCTCTTTCTGCTGCAGCTGGCAGTTCACTGCCAGGCCTGTTCCTGTTCACTGCTGTAACTCAAGCTCTCTGCACGCCACTGACAGGACCTCCCAGTAAAAGGTTTCGTTTCCCCTGCAGCAGCTGGAGGACGACTGCCAAGTCCCTGCTGAAGTGAAACAAGGTAGGACACGTGGCCAGTAACGGCAGAGCCCGGGTCTGCTTGTGTAATAACCACCCTCCAAGTGCAAAGCTAGCCCTAGACAAGACCTGCTACAAAAATTTGATCTTGCAAACAGGTATCATGACAAGAAGCCATTTGACTTATTTTTAAAGTTAATACTAAAAGCCAGACACTGAGTGGGGTTTTGTTCGTTTGCGGTGGTGGCGGGAAGTCAGAGCTTTAGAACATGGGGCAAAAACCCCTTCCTTTTTTGGAACCAAAACAATCATTTAAGATACCTCTTTCACAATAGTCTTAAGAGGGTTAGCAGTGGTAGGGCAGCATCTGACAATTAACCTGCTTTAAGTAGCAAATTCAGAGCTGTCCTAAGACAGAAAGGATTGTCACACTAGCCCTAGTGCAGTGACCTGCTATCAGCTTTCAACTGCTCTCAGCCATTCTCACCACCTCATTTCTGTAGTCATAATTTGAGTGTAGAGAGATAAGATGCAGAACACATTGTGCATTTGAGCAACTGCTCTGGATAAACAGATCAAATGACCTGTTAAAGGCGTCTGGACTAAGACCAATTCAAGAGGCCTCATATTGTTGAGGCAATCCAGAGTTATAGAACAAAACCTGCTTTTTCTTGGCCTCATCTCAGGAACATGCGTGTATGGAAATTTGTTAAGAGGGAGAAATGTGTTGCTGCTAAACATATAAACAGAAGTGCCTCTGAGGAAAAAACGCTTAGGCTAATATCTTTAACTATTCAATTCTAGCTCTAAAGACCCCTCTCCAACGCTCGGGGTACATGTACACCCCATGGCTGTTTTCCTCCCACTTCTGACTTCAAGTGGTATGGCCCTAGCTATGCTATTAAAAACAACTTCCTTCTTAGGTCTTGGGATTTTTTATATAAATTTAAGAGATCCATTCATGCGTTCAACAGCCAMCCACACCCTGAAAGTAACTGAAACGTTTGTTCTTATGAATTTAGGAGGCACCGACTTGCTCCTTTCACGACCTAATAGCCTGGAACCCTGGCTGCTCTCACGAGATATGGCCTGAAGAATTTACAGCACTGCAACATTTTCAAGGCCAGTTCTTTTTTTCCCTCATGTTATAGATAAACATATCTGTGCCTCTGCATTAACCCAGCAAAGGAATTTACTTCAACAACAAGGCCTGTCACAGGCCTGAAAAATGAAGTATTGAGCAACAACCCCCAAGCACAAAACCCAAGCCCTCAGAGGTCATGTTCTGTATGTGATTACTGCAGTCCTCGGTTGGCAGCAGCTGCCCATCTGTTCTGTTGCCCATGATCATGTTCTCCCTGTGCTGAAAGCTGAGCCCAGCAGAATTGGCTTCTCCTTAGCACAGTGCTCTGTGCAGACAGCATTAAGGCTATGCAAGAGCTGGAGAGAGAAAGCAGTTGCCTCTATCAGTTTTAGGCAAAATGCAGTTAAGCGAGATGTATTTTTAAGATCGACTGCTACTACCCCCTTTAAACAGTTGCAGTGCAGGAGGAGAGATATCAGCACCTTGAAGAGCATCTTCCTGCACTGATAAGGAACCTGTGCATAGAGATAAAGCAAATGGGGCCACACTGCCTCAAACACATCCCAGGCTATTTTCTACAAGGTGCAGAATCACAGCTGAGGTCAGAGGGGACCCCTCCAGCTCAGGGACTCCCTTCCCTCTTGTCAAAGGAGATTCTCACAGGCTGTGCAAACATCATCCTGGTTTCCATCCTGTGAGCCTCAAAACACATCTTTAAAAACCCAGCTTTAAAAGAAGGAGGCAAGTATAAAATACTTCATCATGCAGCAGATTTAAACACCCCGATTTGTGCCGTCCGACCTCAGCTAGTTTCATGGTTTATGGTTATGGCTAAGCACAAGATAATAGGAGAGAGAACAGCTCTGAGGAGGGAAAACAAAAACCCCAAAAAGCTGCCATCCTTCTGAGCTCCTGAAAGGGAAAAATCTTTATTTTCTTTAGCTTTATCTTATCTCCACTAGGTTTAACTCGGGCCTCTTTCTCCCTTATAAACCTTGCTTATGAGCAGTAAATCTTACAGGGGCCCTGAGCTGCCAGCAGTACTAATTTACAAGTAGATCTGTTCAAATAATAACCTGAGGGGGAAAAAAATAGGCCTGGAACAAACAACTAAAGCAAACTTGAGTAGTTACTGCACATGTCCAGATTTGATATGAAATTTCCATACTCAGAGAAACAGGAGAGAATGACTTGTTTGGCARTAATTGCTGAAGTTCCTTCTCTGTTCTCCAATTCCTCTGTTCAAACATGCCCATGGATCAAGACAGATGCCAAGTACTGTCTGGAAAAATGCAGCTGAACTGCTGATCCAACATGATAAAGACACAGGTACCAGGTTTCCCCACCCAGCTGCAGAGTCTCAGCTTTTTAGCTCAGGGTTTTGCTCTGCTAAAATGTCTTCACACATAGTAGAAAGCACCACTTTTATCGTAAGTGGAATTAGTCAAGTTGAAAAATGAGGCCTGATACTCAACACACAAGTCAAAGAACGTGTTGGGAGGAGGATGTGGGGCATTAACCACATAGTTCAGCATTCTGTGAAGTCTGTTTCGTCTACGTTAGGCTTTTCAAGAGTTTTGAAATTTGTTAATCGATGCATTCAAACTTGCCAGACTTCATTCACTCCTTAGTCTGGACCAGGTCCTAGAAGCAATCCTTTCAGAACGGCTTTACAGCGTAGTGTCAGAAAGTCCCTCCRGGAGTTTATATGGTCCTTGCTTTTTGTTGTGCCTGTGAATTTGATCAGACTCTAGTCTCCACTCCCAGAAGTGGTTATTTGCCACATTCACCACTTAAAATACACTTGCTAGAGCTTGCAAAAATGTTAGCTGTCAAACACAACGGAGCAAATGTAGTTTTGCAGAGACACTCTTATTAACACACAGATTCAGCCTAAGAAAGCATAATTGATAGAATATACTTCAAACACAGCATTTATTACAAAGGTGCATAGACTTTATGCCATTTCTTTYGAATACTTTTGCTTTCAACTACAAACAACATATAAAGCTGGGTTACAATATGTAATAAAGTCAACAGATTATCTGGTCAATTCAGTACAACAGAATACTCTATGGTACTTAATTTCCCAATATTTCTGAAACAAAGGCACTTACATAATTAAAAAAAATTAAAAGAACATATACTTTTTCAGCATTTGAAATCTGACTTCCAATCCCTTACTCCTCCAGCACAGGACGTAACTGGTTTGAAATGAAGGAATTAGCTCTTTGGAAATGACACAGAGTTATGATTAAACTAAAATATCATGGACCAACTTCTTTTCTATAGCCAACATATTCACTTAAGTGTATGAAAACAGGTTTCAGTGGATTTGCATGGGAATACCTGAACAAAATTTGGTCCCGTGTCTTATTTTTGATGATGGTTAATACACTAACAGTAAGAAAAGATCTGGCTAAGTGCTCCAATTAAGAAATGAGGAAAATGGACTATTTTCTTTCAACTRCTTTTGTAACTGAAGTAGTTAATACATTCTTTGTGTATTAATGATTCAACTCTTGACTATCGCTATCGTTATCATATACTCATTGAAGATAAGGTATAAATGGACAGGCTCCTTAACCCCACCTCTCTTTCAGGACACCCCATCTCCTCCCACTTCTCCTGGATCACCCTGAACATCTCTGTACTATCTGGTCTCTTCTATATCTACCCTAAAAATTCCGCTTTGGGGCTTCTGTTGTCGTTGCTRCCACTACTCCCCAACTCCTTACAGTAACATGCTTTTTACTTAGGGATGACAGATGGCAGATGACAGAGCCAACTTCCRAAGTTGCAGACCTTCCTTTAATATCCAAATTACAAACCTACTGACACCACCACGAGCTGCCTGGTTTGTCACCTGAGATGCTGGAAAGAAACAGAGCCACAGAGTAACTTCATAAACGGAGCTACTGGAAATCGTACCTGTGCCCCAGAGCTGCCTGCACCTCTGCTCACTGGCCRGATTCATCCTGGGCACAGGTGAGCAAAGCTCTTTGCTTCCTTCTGCGAACACACAGAGGTAGGATCTACATAAAGGATGACTTTTGCACTGCTTTAGTGACCTCCAACACAAATACTCAGGATTTCTAGGAAAATGCTTCAGCAACTGACACTGGCCATTTTTGGTTGTTGCCTTGCAACTCCTAGCTGTGTAATGAAGCAGCACCCAATACCTGATCTGCAAGACAGGGAAGARAAAGATCAAAAGAAGAGACACTGCATTCTTGCTTTGTGAATGTCTCCTGGCACTGTTTCATGCTGTCAACTTAAACTCTGTGCCCAGAGAGACATAAAAGAGGTGCATAGGTTATCATGAATCACAATGCTAACTATGCTAACCAACTATGCTAAAAAATGATACTTTTTTTTTTTTTCTGAAATGCCCTAAGATTTTCTTAATCAAGAACTGGAATAACTTAGAAAAGAACTCAATTGGAAAGAGAAATAAATAAGTCTGCCTTGGATAGCAGCAGTTTCCATCCAACATTCTGCATAGGTGTATGAGATAAAACAATTCTACCAGTTTCCAGATCATTGATTTTTAAGCAGTAATAGAGGCCAAATGTAGAATCCTAGGACAGCCTCTCAGCAAGTAATATCTGTATATGAGATGTGTCAAAATCATTCCACAAATTATGTCACAGTGATTGATACAATGGTCAACAGAGAGCTCTTCTGGAGAATAACAAATTGTATTTCAATATTAGACAAAATTTTAGAATATACTAAAAAAAGACATGAGTTGCTTGATAATTACCAAGTTGTACAGAAGCCAAGAGCCTTGCAAATATTGGTAATAGTCACAAAATTGCTTTAAGATGTTTTCATGACTGTAAGCATGATGCTGGAAATGCATTGTGTCTCTGTGACCAAACCCTTCCACCCCTCTAACCTGACTTCTTGTTCTCTTTTCAGGGTAAYGGGAATGTTGAAGACAGAAGGGAGCTTTGGTCTCTGCTGCATATCAGGTCAGTACTTCTTATTCCCCTCCAATATTATTTCTCAAGCACAGGCTTAGTTTATAAAGATCCCTACAAGGTTCCTGCTATACACAGTAACAAATGCTAAAAATTAAAAAAAAACCTATTTGTGATTTTGCATATCTCCTATAAAGTCACTTCCCCTGTGATGATCCAGGACTGAATACTGGCACTCACTTCCACTCCACACGCACGATTAAGGTGGTGAWTTGTTTTTTCAAACTACTCTGTAATACACAACTATTACACAAACCAAGGACTTATCCATTAATTTTGTGCGGAATTCTCAGGGTTTCAACTTCTAATCTAGTTGTTGTAGTGRATGGCAGAGGGTTTGTTTCTTTTTAACTGTTTTTCTATGAATTAAAATAGCTTGAGAAGCTGTAACAATGAAGTTACAGCTTTTAAACCTTAAAATAGGAAAAGAAAACAAGGAAATAATCAACCCATGCTATTTAGCATAAAAAAATGYAGCTAGCACAAAGACAATTAAACATAGTTTACTATTCCTTACAGAATGCAAATATGTTTCAAAAACGAAAAATTCCCTTTTAAACCATAAATGAAGTGTCTTACAATGCAGCCTACATAGTGACAGTAACTTCAAAACAGGCATAACATTATCATTGAGTTTCAAAGAGATTAAGTTCTTACATTTTAGCACTGTGCAAAATATTGCTACAGCTCWGGGTGTGTGGAAATGCTCATGCTAGGTCATTCCTTTCAATCTCTTCAAAATTCACTTCAAAATTATTCTACAGCAAATGTTAGAAATTTGAAATACTCCCTCATACTTTTCTCACTGTAGTTTGAACAAAATCTCTTTTTGTATTTGCTTGAGGTATAAGTAAATTATTTCTGCAAGAAATAAAAAGATACTGAAATAACTTTCACTTTAACAAAATAGTTGTCTTCCAGGAAAATATACTACGTGGTGTAAACAGCACAAATTGTATTTTTAAAAAGTTTTGTATGCAGAAGCATTGTAGCAGATCTGTTCAATAGATGGGCTTCTGAGGATCCACATAAGCAGGATTGTATGGGGGCTGGCTGACGGGGTAAGGTGCTCCTGCACCACCTGCAGATGCAMAACACAAGAAAAGACAGATTTACAAAACTCACATTCTGAATTCTGCATCTGTACCAATTTCAGTTCTCAATGCGCGTTTGAAGAGTTCAGTTTATCTAGTATCTTAACTGGGAGAAAATGTGGTGCAATTGATAAAGCATTTGCATTTTTCAAGTTAGGTAACAAAGTTTTTTTGTTTTATTTTGGTTTTTTTTGGAGTGTATGTGTGTATTGGGGTACCCACAAGCRTATGGTGAGCCCTCAGAGAAGGATATGTTTGGAAAAAAAAAAGGGGGGGGGAGAAAGAAAAAAAGAAACAGGAAAAAAAGAAGGGCAATTTGGTCCAATATGCCAACCAGTAAAATCAGTGATGCGAACACAACAGGACATACCTGGCATACCTGCTAGTACATGGAAAAGTTAGAATGAATCAGGAAGAAAAAGGACTAGAAAAGGTGTCCGGAACTCTCCTAGTAAAAATATCACTGAATTAAAGGTGCCCCAAAAGTAACCACCAAGCCCCTAAAACACTGCCACATACATACTAGATGTACCCAACTGTGACCATAATTTACTTCCATTAATAATGGTAAATAATAATGCTCTAAAAATAGACGATTTGCTTTAACAGAAGTGTGTTTTCATCTCTCTCAGGGGAAACGCTGCRCGGCTTCCTTACCTGCCATGGTTTCATGGTAAGCGGGGGGTCCGGAGGGCTGCGTGGGGTACGGGGGCGGATACTGCGTGGGATACGGCGCGGCCGGCATGCCGGGCTGCGGCTGGATGGCCACGGGCTGGTAGCCTTGGTAGGGCGCTGCGGGGTAGCTCGCCGGCACCGCTGCTTGCTGCGGATACGGAGCGTGCACCACCGTGGTGGCCGTGGTGGCCGTCACAACAGCTACAAGCAACCAAGGAACGTGGTTAGTGCCGGTGGTCCTCGGAATCGGACCTCTCTTCCTCAGTCCAAATCCGGGGCAATTTCGTCTGGAACTTCCATGGGAGATTTAGGGATCCATACCTCAGGTTACCCTTCCACTGATCTTCATAGCAACAGAGGTTTCACATACCTGGATGGCGGCCAATTTACCTCCTTGTTCCTCAACCACAAAGAGCTTTTTCCTGGCTCTTCACCAAGCAGGAGGAATTCCTTTCTGCAGCTGGGTTATCTATCATTCTAGGACAAACTGCTCATTTCTAAAGACATTATCTATTCTTAAGGATAGTTTGTGCAATATCCCTCTGTCTTCCTATGGTGACCCACTGCCCAAATGAGTTTCCTTAAGTATGGTATTTGTGTGCTAGCATACCTATATGTTAGTATTTCTTTTGCTAATAATAGCCAGAACAGTAAATACGCAGAAGTAATCCATTTTTGCAGGAGCTGATGTTGAATTATTGGTTCGTGTCTCTATTGAATTAAGGGAGCATTAGAGCTTTGCAATAAGCTGCAATAATTTGTTTTCCAGATCTCCTTATTCCTTATGCTACAGCTATGTGTATTTATCAAGATTCCACTTTTTAAGAATAGTGAATGGCAAAACCAGTCTTTTACTTTCCTCTCATTTAAATCTTGTTATAAACATGCATCTATTTCTGYGACTGTATCCAGGCTAAACTCAGCTAACATTTGAACTAGTCTTAATAGCATTTTAATCAAGTTATTAGAGTTTTAAATAGTGTTTCCCTTTAAAATTACCATTTTTAAAAACTGATCTTAGAGGTGCACACACAGGATTCGATTATGGAATTTTAAACAGCATAAGGTTTGTCCATATATATCAGTATGTCAACTTTTATTTTGATATAATTTGAACTGTCAAAGATTTAGAATAAAGGAAGATCACTAAAATATACTTAAAATGAGGAGGGAAGGGAACTTTTTACATTCTTAGAAATTCAGCATCTCTCTGCTACTTCACATTTTGAARCAGCCCAAACACTTATTTCTAAGCATTTGTTTAGGTACTAGAACCTCTGCATCAAAAGGACAGGAAAAGATGATTTGCATCTTTTTCAGGATCACAGTTTTYTAGGAAAAAAAGGTCTTACTGGGARAGGTAAAGGATAAGACAGTAAATATAAATGCAGAGGTACTCACGCCTTGGTCTTCGACATGCTTTGTACAAACAGCAACAGGAGCAGGTGAGGCACAAGATAATAGTGATCACAACCACAGCAAAGAGGGCAATCCCAATCCCAATAAGGGTTCCAAAACTGCAAGACAAACAGCACCAGAGGTAACTAATGTCTCTCGTGCAATTTTATTGCTATTTAGCCTGCATTTGTTACCAAACACATCACTCTTCCTCCAGTCTGTTACTCCTACTACATCATGCATTTGAMTAGGCAGCCATTTCCAAGTGCATCCCTATATCAAGCTCCGCAAAATGCGTGGAAGCAGATCAACACTTACAAAGGTGCACTCTGCTTTGTCCCWGAAGAGGACTTCACGTGGCTCTTTAATCCTTTTATTTTAGTGCATCTCTTTATGTATTTCAGGCAGTTTATAAAGTATTAAGCCCAGCCCCCAGGGAGAACAGCAGGATTTAGCAGACCTCTCCGCACTGCAGATTTCTTGGCATTTGTAAATGACTGTTTTAGAAGCCATATTTCACTTGCTTTGAAAAAATCTGAATTTCAGCCAACTTTACTGCAATGAAGGAGCACGTGGCCCTAGGTTGGAGAAGGCAGAGCACTGCCCACCAACACCAGCATCCAGAATAGAAAGGCCAGATACTGCAATAAACTCTGTAATGAGAGCCAAATGAAGGAAGCAGATGTAAAACTTSCACAGACCCCTGCTTGTGACTTCTCTTTATCACGGAGGAAAAGAAAAGTAACTGTAAAGCTTAAATTCTCAGTGACAATCTCTTTGTCATAGGAAAGGTCATGTTGTTTTCAGAAAGGTCCCTTTTTGAAAGGTCAGCAGACAGAAAATTCTATGTCTTCTTAAGATTGTTTAGATGAGAAAGTAAAACACTGGAACCTAAGACTATCTGAAGTGTTAATTATATTTACTTCAAGCATTAAGTGATTTGCCTGAAATCCAGAGCAGCTCTTCCAGGCTAGCCAAAGTCTCCAGCATTTTTACGTATTAACTTCATGCATCAGTTTTGGAAACAATCACAGGAAGTGGGACTTAATGGAAAACAAGACCTAACATAACAAGTAGAGAGCTGTTTTTAAACCATCCTGTTTTTGCTTCTTCATAGAGATTTTAGCTACAGAACTTTCTGGTTTTCTTCCCGTTCAGTTTCCTCTTACCAGCTTTAAACAAAATGACACACATCTAAACCCCCAGCAGTTTTAGACTTGGCTATCAAATGCAAGACTTATTTCTGAGCATCAGCAGCACTGGAAGGTTTGGCAACTGACTTTAAAAGAATGAAAAGCAGTGCACTGCAACAGGATGAGAGGTAAGGGGCACAAGGCACAGGCTGGCAGGAGAAAAGCACTGGTCAAAGTGAAAATGAAAGTGCCACAGCCACTGTAAGAGATATAAACATAGAAGACTTTGCTAAGACAAAAATTGTTGTCATGCAAAGGCTTTTCTCTAGCTTTTTCAGTGCCTCCTCCTTCCTCCTGAACAGCAGCTTCCTTTCAGCACAGCCATCTCATTTCAGGATGAAATGGAGAAATGTCTAAATGCTACAAACAAACTAACACTGCAGGAAACTGGCAGGGCCCCTATCGACCTGCACCAAATTCAGTTCTTCCCTACTCCATGCCAGGAGTCGGGAAGCAGCACGGACCCTTCTGCAGCTCAGCTGGCCACCAGCAGATAAATGCTCACAGCTCAGCCTGAAGCAGGGGCTCCATTGGTTTATTTTTATTTGCACTTCCTCCTGAAGTTCTCTCATCTTTGAAGCACACCTCTCATTGCTTTTCAATAGCTATATTAAGAAAAGTGACAGTAGTAAAAACCAGGAAAGAAGAAAAAAATCATATTTTTGGCTCGTGTTAAAATGACATGACTATGGCATAGTGCAATTCTGCAGAGCTAACTAGAGACATATATTTAAAGTAGAAGTGTGTCAAGTCTATATACACTGTAGAATGAGGTCCTGTGTTTTTGTGTGTGAGCACTGTGATTCAATTCTGTCCACCAAAATCCAGTGTGATGAGTACTGACCAAAATTATAAGTCCTGAGAAACAAAATACTGGGTAAGACAGCGGACGTGTGAGTTTTAACCACAGTTTTCTAAGGAGAATGCACACACAGACTACTGCAGGCAATTTTATCATCCACACCACAAGACAACATGACATTTGGAGAAAACAGCAGCGTGCGCTTTGACCTTGCAGCCACTGATGCTCTTCAAAAAAMGGTTGTTTTCTAATGATTTCCCTTGCCAGTTCTGAGAACTGTTTGGGATTATCTGCATGGTCAGGCACTACTGTACTGTATTAATAACATCTATCCTTTTGCTGCTAAATGATTACTGCCCTGATCACTTTTTCTGAGCATTTAACACTGATGTAGAGTAATTAATGACTTTAACCCTCCTAGAAGATTGCCGGTAAGGATGCTGAGGAAAGGCAGGAAGACAACCAGCAACAGGAGGCAGTACTTAAGTGGGGCCTGGCTGCAAGAACAGTGTTGGACAGACTTCTCGAGCTCGGTGAGTCACTTGCATACACAAGATATTCCATATCTTGTACAAATAGTCTATACTCCTTTCCTGCTTGAGAGTGTTTCCTCATCTAGCTGCTTTCACTTGGTGAATTTGTATGAAAAGACTCTTAAAAAATATATATTTAGAATATATAATATTTTAATTAGTCTGCATAATCCAGGGGAAAAAAAAACCCTCATGGGCGATTGAAGCTTGAAGTTACCTCCACTGTAGGGTTAATAACCACGTAGCCACACAAGAAAACAAAAAATAACCCCTACCCATAGTGGATTCTGCTGGCAAAAGCCCTAGTGCAGACTCTGTGCTGGCTGGATGCTGGTTTAGGCTCCCACGCTATATGCCACAGTCCCCAAATAAGCTACATACTGCTGAGCTCATTCACTGCCATTTCCTGTTTCTTTCTCGGCACATAATAAAAGCTCTGCTTTGCCAATAACCTAAAGACAAAACAAAATAATAAAAAAAAGGAACTTTTACTGTAGCAATGATAAAAATGCAGCTTCTCATAAATGTGATGGAAATGTAAATCAAGAGAGGAGGCCGTGCCCTTGCCTAGCACCAGTTTGGGCTAGTGGGAGCACTGAGCCACACTGCAGACCAAATGTGCTCGAGAGGAGGTCGCCCGGCTGCAGCTGCATGAGCTGCCGGTGCTACCCATGGGCTGTGGTGGCCGTTTGCCCCAGGGCCCTGTCCCCTGCAGCCTCATCTCCTTGTGACCTTCTGGGAAACGAGGGCACGGCGACTCCTCAGGCAGATGTCTTTTGACTGAGGATTCACAGATTGAATAGCATTTTTTCAAAATTTCGAAATCCTGAAGTGCTTCATCACTAGCAGGTCTCGAAGATGGCTTAACCGTTTCTCAAGCCACAATGCAGTGACGTGAGCTCAACTTTACCAAACTGTCACATCTAGATTTGTCTTTGAGGTAAAATGTTAACGCAGGTCACTGCTTGAGAGCACTCCTAGGCTCCTGCTTAGATGCAGCTCCTCAGCAAACCCAAACTTCTGCATCTTGCTTTGCCCAACCTGCCAGCAGTGCAGATGCACACCCAGGTCAGCACAAACTGCGAGCTGCCCAACTACTCTAGCACTGACAGGGACTGAACTCCTCCTGCAACCACCCAGAACCTCCCGTGACCTTTCACAGTTCTTTCTAGATACCCTCAAAAGATGGAAAATCCTCAAAAGGATGGAAAAYCTCCAAGTGCATCCCTTTGAGCTTTAAGCTCATAATAATAAACTTACAGGAAGAAAAAAAAACCCTGAAACTAGAGCTGGTTACTATTCTTGAAAGATACATCAACTTCTCAATGCTTTTTAGCACAASAAGTTCTTAAAGACTCTATATGAGAAAGTGTCAGGGAGGGAACTTCCTGCATTTTGGGGGTTTACTCAGCAACCTGACGTCCGTACCCAACAGGTTATTATGGACAGTGTACACAAGGATCCTTTCTTGGTCTATAAACTGCTTGCTTGCAGTAATTATATCTGTTTGCATAAATTCCTTTACAAACCACTCTAAAAATACAGTTTCTCAAGGAAGCTTCCCAGGAAAATTGCTACTGTACCCTTCTGTAGACAGCTCAGAGTAATTGTTCTAGGTAGCTAAAATATTAAAAACATCCAAGTAACAAAAAAAGGGAAAACAGTAACTGCATTCAGGGGGACTAAGCAGCCTTTCGTCAGCAGTTCAAGAATTAACATGATCATTTCCTGCATCTCACAGAAGTTTCAGAGATAGTCGCCAACCTTTTAGTCCCTCAGCATAAAACTCACCCCTAAACTCAGTACGAAGTACTCACTTCTACAGATTATAAATAAACCTTAAACAGTCCTTTAGTGGCAAAAGAGAACGTAAATTACTTGTGGATAATGTAAATTACGCACAGACAAGGCAAAGTGAGTCAGTTCCTCTTCTGTTGTCACAATCCCAGTTCAGCATTGAATTCCGGATGCCCCTTTTTCTTTTTGGCTAAATTTGAACACAAATTCCCAGCACAAAGCCAATGGGAGGGATTTTTCTGAAACGATTAACTGAATTAACAGAACAAATTCAACTGAAAAAAAAAAAAGTATTGCAGAAAAAAAAAGTGTTCTACATAAATGATAACTGCAATAGTATGAAGTTGCTACAGTGAACACCACACTAATTCAGAAAGTGCTTTTAACGCTTCTAAGTTTTAAGCTACTTRAGAACTAGCTTGGCTAAAGAGTTGTAGTCTCAAATACAACAGAAGTGATTCCGGCAGACTGCAGTGTGGGGCACGACTTGCCAAACACGTGAAACAGCAACCAGAGGAAGTTCAGGTTACCCCCACCTCTGCTTACCACATACGCAACTCTTCCATACGAAATGGACCTTTTTATTTACTCACACTCGTCATTAAGAACATAAAAGTCAATAGCAGGGCTCAAGAAAGAATKAAGTTTAAACAAGGCAAATTTATTAGCCTCCACTACAGTGAACTGACCTGGTTCTTCACCCTCTGTCTCATCAAGAACAGTGTTAGTCATCATCCAACATCAGGGAAAAGCTAACGTCACACAAATTAGAACAAGTCTCTGTAGCAGAGTCCACAGCTGGCTGACCAGTATTTCTCTTTTTAAATTATTTTCATTATAAACAAAACCTTCATAAAAAGAACTCATAAAAGTGACTTTGATGACTGGTACTTCTCATAGCTTAAAAAAAAAAAAAAAAGGGAATCTAGTACAAGCTAGTAAAATTAGTAATCATGGAGAGAAATATCACATTAGAAATGCTACAAAATATTTTCATTTCGTCAAAGGAGCACTGTTATGCATTTGCTTATTTCATGAAATGGAGCTAACCGTTTTGAGAACACATCATACCTGAAGTTTTAAAAGGCTGCATCCTCCTACAACACAGAATTTAATCTCTCTGCATGTTTATACCAGGTTGATTTGCAATGGAGGTTACCATTTGTACAGGTTTACATTTACTGTTCAGCCTAATATAAAGCACAGAATGATTTTTAAAATGTCTTCAAATTGAAATCTGAATTGTTTCTATACAAGGAGCTCACATTTCTTGGTGAGATTAGCTGTGTCTGAATGCCAGCCTTACAGAAAGGAGCCTGTATGCAGCTTAGCTCATTTATCACATAACATATCCAGGGCAAGTGCTAAAAAAGAAATCCTCTGTGTGTGATAGAGGCCACTTACATTTCCATAAGGCCCTTTCCCATTAAAAATTTTCCTCATGCTCTTATCATTGGCAAACCATTACTGATGTTGCAGCATCCAAATATACAATAAAAATGTGAAGTCTCTGACACTGATAGGAAGAGCAGGAAAAACTGGATTTAATGCAACATCACAATGATATTTAGCTTGTCTTGGGAGAAAGTATATGCTTTAAAAACCTCTAATTGAGAGATAATAAATTAGGATCATCATATCTTCCATGGTYAGAGGGAGAGTTAGTTTTTACCATCCTAGACATACAGCAGCCTATCGTAGGCTCTGCTTTGCGAAGGAAAATGCACATTTTTTCTTCTTTTTTTTTTTCTATTTCACAGATGGAGGCCCAGGTCACAAGACAAGAATGGATCTGAATTATCGCATCCCTGCTGTAGCCAGTCGGTATGTTCTCTGCTTGCTGAAGCTTCCCAGGAAGACTGTAGTTCTGGCCTCCCTCTTCTCATTACATAACGATGAACAGCCTTTTTTCAAGTATAACCCTTATCTGTTACAAGATCAGCTGTGACTTCCAGAAAAATTGATTCAGCTACTAAGCTCTTTTAACTGTGTACAACGAATTTAAAGTTTTCTTCTAATTGAATGGGACTGATTATCACCCACTCAAAAGACATTATTTTCTTTCRTGGCTAACACATAAATTCCGATCTGCCTCGCCCTCTTGAGCACTCAAGAATACTTCACCATTAGTTCAACTGTGGATGTGAATCATCTAATTTCTCTTTCCAGTAAGGAAAATTGGAAAGTTGGCCTACCAAGGCTAAACAATCACGTTACCACAGCAGATTTTGCCATGAGATTTTTGATTCCAGCACATGAGAGAAGAAAAATCTAATTTTGACTGTTTCACAAAGAGGTAATACTAAGTACTGCAAAATGAGAGAGAAAAACAACTAAATTAGCTTAGCTGCCTGCATCCCTGAAACAAGAGCACCATGAAGAAATTTCAATTTTTGCTAATTCAATAAAAAAGAAAGTGAAAACATCTGCAAGTAGCAAATCCCTGCCACAGYGCACGCCTTAGCAACAGAAGTTGCTGAAGTTGTACATGGTCATCTTACGGGCATGAAGAAAATGGTGGGAAATAGAAGTTCGGGGCTATAAAACCATCCTGAAAAGCTCCAGCTGATCTTCCAGGAAGAGGAAACAGCAGAGGAAAGCCAGGATCTCAGTTAATGCCGCAACTTTATTCTTTTCCTAAAAGGCTTTAATTTACATCTAAATGTGATGTTCTGGAAAGCACGATGCTTCCAAGCACCCAAAACTACATTACTGAAACACCCTGAAGGAAATGCTCCTTATTGTCTTAAAGCTTGACCAAAAGCAGATGCTAGCAACGGTCTGCACTGTGCACAACTACCTCGAGCAGTGATGCCCGCATTAAATCCTGAGGGATACCAGGAAAAAGAAGCCTAGTGAAAGAGAAGCTGATGCTTTACTTGCACTTGTGATGGGGATCTCAGGACAAACAGAGCACAAGACAAGCTCAACAAGCAAAGTAAAACCTCCCTCRTTACACAACATACAGGAAGAACGTACAGACTACCGGACTAAACCCTTTCCTAACACAACCCCATACAGATATAGCCTAAATGTGGCTGGATTTCCAGGCAGGGAGAAGAGACACCCCAGCTCACCTGGCCTCATGGCACATCCACACTTCATGCAAAGCCCTCAGAAAGGTGAAAATCCCATAAAAGCTACAATTTATGATCAATGTGATAGCCAGCATGGGTAACTCCTAAGGCGGATGCAAGAAAGAGGAACTGCATATTGTCCGACCCTGAAAACTTGCAATGCTGGGAATCAGCTGCTCCAAAACAAACAGAGCTTGTTGCTCTGGGAAAGAAAAAATAAATAAATCCTGGGTAAAGCTGTAACTAAACAGAAACCTCCTGGTGGCTTGGTGCCTGAGAGCTGGCAGAAGAGATCCAAAGGGAACCCTCCTCATGTTCATTCCTGATGTTGAAACAGCCGAAACCATTAGTCACTTTGGAAAGTTTTGGGATGTGGCTTTCATCCAGAGGCACATTCAGGTAGCTTTCCAAAGCATACGTTTTCTGTGCATGCTTTCTATGAACTGCTGGCTGGTAAACAAGCTTGATGCAAGTCTAGGTCTTTGCATCTAGCATTAATTTAAGCTCGTGCATTAATTTATTGCTCGAGCAATAAATTAAGCTCGTTAATTTTTCAAAACTGTAACGTAAATGAGAGAGGGAAAAAATAAAAAGACACAAGGAAGGCCGAGAGTCCCTAGCGATCCCTTATCTCAAGGGGAAACATCCGTGACGCTCCCTGTTGCCGAAACGCTTCCCGTCACTGGAAACGCATCCTYGCGGAGCGCAGGCCGCAACAGCTAGAGCTCAACGCAAAAAAACAGCGCAAAACCCCAAAGCTCCCGCTCACGGAGGGGACGGAGCCTCCGCGCCAGCCCCGGGCAGCACTCACCCCATGCTCCGCTCCGCKCCGCKCCGYKCCSKGCCCGSCCSSCSCGCCGCGCCGCCCCCGCGCCCGCCCTGACGGCGCTTCCTTCCCCCGGCTCCCTCCCATCGACCGTTCACATCCCGCACCAGCTGAAACCGCTCTTATTCTCACGCGCCGCAACGGGTCTGACCAGTGTTGCTCACCCCAAGTGCAAAAAATGAGATAAAAACAGGGAGATTCTTCATAGAAAAGCAGCTTCTTCAGTAGGAGACAATCACCTCCTGAGACGATCTGCAGTTGTGCTGCGGCTTTGGAGGCAAACCGCCATTCAGGAATGAGAATACAGAACATTACAGGCAAGCAGCATAAGCCAAACTTTTGCTCTGTCTTCAAATATTCTGCAGAGTTTGAGTGCCCTCCACTCTCAAAACACAAGCAATTCTGTTTTCATATCGGCAGGTACTGATCACATAATAAAGAGCCTGCAAATAAAGAGCATCAAAGAAGCTAAGCCTTGCCAGGGCTTACCTGGGGCCGCTGTCGAAGAAGTCATCATCAAAGTCTGCACGGAAATGCAGGAAATTCGCCTGGCTCGAGTCAGAGATGCTGCAGCAAGAGAATTCATCTCAAAAAGGGAATGTGGGACTTACTTAAATACAATTAAATACCTACCAGATCATGCATCAAATTGTTCACCTCATTACTACAATTCTGCAGGTAGATTACATGYATTACATGCATTAATGCAGATCCCCGATTGAGCCAGAAATGGAGCTAAAAGATCCCACTATATGTTTTAACCATGAGACTATATATTTGTGTCATCTGGTGATTAAAATGAATGCCTGCTGCATATGTGCAGTTTGCACCCTACCTTCCATCAAGCGGAGAGCACTTAAGCTGTTGTTCCTCATCGAATTTCAACAGGGCATCAGAGCAGCAGTATTTATGGGTGCAATCTCCACAGCAGAAGTTGGGACAGGATTTTGCAGGTTGCACCTCGCCATATTTATCAATATAAGCCTCACAGTCCTCACCCAAAACTGAAAAAAAAACGCAAAACTCAAGAATCAGTAACTAGAAAATAATCATCATGCCAAGTATTGCTGCCAGATTGATCAGCTCGCCTAGGTTAATATCTAAACAGGTTTCAGGTACTTCCATTAGGAAAAAATCAATTATTTCTAAATCAATTATTTCCAAATCAATCATTTCCTTCCAGGTATAGCAAAGGCAAATACATACTGGAATATATGAACGGATGGTATCTTGTGAGGCCAAGATCCCTAGGAACTGAACTGGCCAAGCAGCACAGCCACAGTGGTGAGGAATGGGAAGGGTTTGCATAGGGAACGGGGGCTGGCAGGATACCCCCTGCTTTTCAGCAGGGAAGGATTCCTCTCTAAGCAGCACCTGAGGGTCAAACACTTGCAAAATGCTCGCGAGAGGAAGACCTAAACCCGGACTTCAGGCATCACTGCTCAGAGAATCTAGGCAAGGAAGGAGGAAAAGGTGACAAATCRGGTTCCTTCAGCAGAAAAGTAGCAGATACGTCCTGAAGAACAACTGAGTTTGCATCTGAACATAGCCTTGATTCTGCAGCCCTAAAATATACCTGACCTCTCAGCCAACACCAGGGAAGACAACAAAAAAAAAGAAAGAAAATCACTGTTCTAGGAAGTTAAAGTTGAAGGTTCACCACATAGAGGCAAGCTAGGACCTCTCCAGCTCCGAGTACTTCTGCAATCAGGTTTACACATTCTTGTTCCCAGTTCACAGAGCGTTTTCTTGGCAGCCGCACAACGTCATCAGACAACCATCTCCTTCCTGTACCGCCGCTGCGGCAGGAACAGGCAGCTAGCGCGGGAGCACGGGCGAGCTTAGGTACAAGMGAAGCAGGCAACCAACAAAGTCACTCCCTCTGTCTCGCAACGGGGCTCCCGCCATGCAGGAAAACAGCAAGGGGGAAGAAAGATCCCCACCACTTCTCCAAGCATGGTCCTGGGACCAGCCAAGCGGATCGAATGCCTGAGCACTGCCCAAGGAGAGGGATTCGGCTCCTGCTTGGTTGCTCTCCTTCTGCACTGGCTTCGGTCCTCGCAGGACCCTCCTGAGCCCTTTCCAGCACATCAGCAGCCTCCCTGCAGCTCGCGGGYCGCTCTGCTTTTGGCTAGCGGGTTTTCAGCCCCAGGAATGATTCACCTGAGCTCCAAAGTTGCCCAGTGGCCGCCCAGCCGTGCAGGGCGCGAGCCGCAAGGCTGCGGAGGGCAGAGATCGCCGCCTCTGCTGGCAGGCCGGTCCCCGAGGCCCCTCACGCTGCAGGGCTCGCACATCAGCACCCAGCCCCTGCACCCGAGCGCACGGGCACGAGGGGCTCGAGCGCCCACGCGGCGCTGGCCTCTTCACGGACAGCTCGTGTCCGCTCCCACCGGCGCCACCGGCGCGGGGCGGCTCCCCCCGAGCGCCGCGGGAGCCTCGCGATCCGCCGCAGCTCCCGCCCTCCCGCCTCTGCTCCCCGCACGGACCTCCCGGCCAGACCTTCCCCCGCGCCCGCGGAGCCCCGCCGCGCTCACCGGCGGGCAGCAGCAGGCAGAGC